TACCTGGGCAAAGAACGCCAGGTGCTTTCTAACATTATCGTTGCTTTAAATGGGAGCGCTGCTTCTGGTCACCCGCTGGGGACGCTGCGCTGTGTCTGGGAGGCGGTTAGCTGATCATCACGTGCACCAACCTGTCAGCACCTTGGACAGCCCATTTCTGCTGGAAACCCGAAGAACAGGTTGTTCCGAGCACAGGTGTGCTCGGAGGTGTTTCTCTTTGGCCAGAAGGGAGTGAAGCCGGACTTCTCTGGTGCACTGCACTGAAGGTCCCGTTGATGACTCCCTGCCCGCTTGATGGAGGCCATGGTGATGTGCCAGGTAAAATGTCTTCCTCGGAGCCAAGGGTGCTGACCGGGGGGTCTCAGAGAGCGGGGGGGGGGGGGCTGGAGGGGGCACAGCTTGGGGACCTACTAACAGGGTCCCCGTTCGTGGATGACAGCTCCCCTTGGGTGGAGGTCCTAGAGAAGGAGGGTGACGTTTCAGGGAGAGGTAAGGGCTGCTTAGACAGGACCTATTCCTATGGAGATGAGCAAATATCCTCTTGTACAGGAGAAGCAGCTCTGATCAGCTCTGGGCTTCTGGCTGTGGGAGGTCCCTGGGCTTCTGGCTGGCTTCTGGCTGGCTTCTGGTCTCTGGGCTTCTGGCTGTGGGAGGTCCCTGATGTTGAACATCAGGTAATGCGCCGGCTCAGCAGAGAGAAGCTCTGAGGAGCAGATTCAGCAAAGCGGCTGTTTCTTGCACCCGGGTCTGTGAGGATCCACACTGAGGGGCGTACAGGAAAAGGTAAAGGGGCTCCATTTGCTCACAAGCAATCCTTGCATGGCTTGCATGAAGGAGAGGCTTCATGTGCTCATGCAGAAGATCTTGGTTCACAGGGAAGGCACATTGTTAGGTGGGGAGATCTCGGGGCAAGGCGGTGGGAGGGGAACAGACAGTCATGTGACCCTTTTCCTTTCCAGGTGAGGTGGGAGGAGGAAAGGGGCAGGCAGGAGGCAGCCTCATCTTGCCTGAGGCACGAACCCTTTCCCTCTGGTCAGCAGAGAATTCCGAATTCTGTGCAGTGCAGGTGCAGGCAATGTTACATACCCCAATAACCACACGCACAGGTAGCTGGGCTTGTGATGGGGGTGGCCCACCTGCTAAATCACCTGGCTGGTGGAATGACGGAAGCTTAGAAGCACCATCTCAATAGTTTTGTAGGTGTTGTGGAAGATGTGGTGCTCGAGGGCCATGTTGGTGCAAGGATGTGGAGAAATGTTGTTCCGAGGTCCCGGAATCCACATTGAGCTTGCTAAAAAGAAGCTTCAAATCCGGGACCACCAAGCTCGCCTCCTCTGAATCGCGACCCGCTTCGTGCACGGGCCGCTGGAAAGGCGCAGCAAAGGACGCCCGGTGTGTGGATGAGATGCTGGTGCAGAAAGGGGGGATCTGCTTTGTTGGGACGGGGAGGCATCTGGGGGCAAGCCAGGCCTGTGCAAGAGGGACGGGCCCCACTGGAGCCAACCCAAGCCAGGCGGCTGGCACATAACATGGAAAAGGGGAAAGCTGACAGTTGTGGGAAGCACCCGATGTGCATGCAGTTGTCCCCAGGGCATGAAGACTAGGCGGTTTCTGATTGCTGCGTGCGGAAGGGGAGGGAAGAGGGCGATTCTCTCCCTTCGTCAGCTTTCTCCATCTCTCCACAGCAACCCACACCCTTCACCCCATAGGCTCAGGAAAACCACTTGGCCACTCTTTGGGAATGCGTCGAGAGCTGCTGTGGGCCGGGGTTTGGGGTGCGGGGCTGCAAGGGCTGTTTTGTAGGCCTGCGAGCTGAGAGAAGTTGGGAGAGATCCGATCTGGCTGGGGAAGCGAGTGCTTCTAAGCAGTGTGACCATCGGCTGAGCTCCCCCGGGCCTCAAGCCGCGTGACGGGCGATGTGCTCGGCATTTGGATGTGCCCTGGCTGATCCTCAAGGGGCCGCGGTTCTGGCTTGGAGATGCTGCTAGAGAAGGTTGCAAGATGTTCTGCCTGGAGTCCAGACGGCCCGCGTTGCGAGGGGCTGCACACGGCGCCCTGGGTGATCGCGAGGACCTCGAGACCTGGCGTGGGGTCGCCGCTGAGCGCTCACCCAGAATGCGTTGCCTGCCAGGCCCCCGTTCTGTGCCGCCGCAGGCATTCCCCGCACGTGGAGGGCGCGGGCGTGGATGCAGCATCTCGGGGCAGAGCTGGGGAAGGTCCTGCCTGACAGGGAGGGAGAAGGGCCCCCCCCCCCGGCTCAGGGTGTGCAGGCAAGAATGCCCAGTGCCTGCTCCTCCGCTGCTCGCTTCTTGCAGGGTTCCAGGCAAGGGTGGCGGTGAGAGGAGGGCAGGCCGGTGCCGCGGCCCCCTCGCTCCCCGGATCGCGGCCTGCCCAGCAGTGGCGAGGCTGGGACAGGGCGCGAGTGCCGGGGATGATGGCCGTGAGGCGGTGGACTCCCTGCTTCCGGGGGCCTGGAGGGCTTCTTGCCCAGGCCCGCCAGAACTCGGCGTCAGCAGTGCCCTGGGCGGTCAGAGTCGGGCAGCTGCCCCCACCCCGGTGCCCTCCAGTGTGTGGGGCTATGCTGGCTGACGGGGAGTGTCGTCCAGCACATCCGAAAGGCACACAGTCCCTGGTTCTGACAATCCCAAGGCAGCGGCTGGCGTCTTTCCCTGGGGCCAAGCGAATCGAGGTGCTGGAGGCTGCTCTTCTTCCTCCTGTTTTTCCGCGCAAAGCAGCTGCAGGGCGTGGGGCCCCCGGGCAGGCAGGGCTGGGCTCTGCGTGATGCTGCCTTCCGTGCTGGGTGCCAGGAGTGCGTGGCCACAGCTGCCCTGGCCGTGTGGGGCGGGGGTGGGGGGTGACTGGGCGGCAAAGGCAAGCCCCCAGGAGAGGACCTCGTCCAGGCCTGCCCAGCCTCTCAAGCGGGGGTGGGGGGGTGGGTGCTCCCTTCTGCTCCTCCCCAGGGCAAAGCCTTCCTCGAAGCTGCCCTTCTCTCCTCCCGGGAAAGCCACGGGTGCCCACACGCACGCCCTTTCTCAGCTTTGCAGCCACCCTGGCTTTGGTTTGGGTTCTCCGAACAAACAAGCACATCTCAAAGAAGTTCTTTAGGTCAAACATTTTGCCTGAGGGACTTGGTCTTTCATCCCCATTTCCCAGAACTCTCTAAAGTTCATGTCTCTTAAGTAGGGGGCCTTGTGGATTCCGGGATATGTGTGTGTGTGTGTGTGTGTGTGTGTGTGTGTGTGTGTGTGAGAGAGAGAGAGAGAGAGAGAGAGAGAGAGAGAGAGAGAGAGAGAAGGATCTGAGGATGAAGGCCATCCGTCCCCCTGCGCCCCAAAGCCAGCTTTGGCAACGTTGGTTTTGTTTGGTTGCGCTCAGTCTGGAGACCTCAAATTTGCAGCTTGGAGGAGTGACTCCAAATTGTTTCCCGCTGTTACGCTTGGGCGTTGCTGTGGCCGTAAGCGAGAGAGGGTGGGAATCGCCCTGCTGGCCGCTGGGGACAAGTTCGGCCCTCGCAGCCAAGCAGCCTGCAAGAATTCCCAGCGGCGGTTGGGGAGGGGGGTCGGGGAAGGCCATATCTTGGGGTTGGGGGCTGAAACGGGAATCCATCCCTGCCTTGGGAATTCTGGGTTAAAGCTGCACTTGCGGGGCTGTGATGGGAACAAGACCGTGCCAGCTGGGCTTGTTGCCGAGGGTGGACTGGGGGCCAGTGTTGTGTCGGGGACGGGGTGACCAGAACAATTTTATCTGTTGCCATTGAGTGTCATTTTCTGGGAAGGCTGTTGTGCTGCACATCTGCTTTCCATGAGCATTCCCTGAGGGTGCCAACACTCTGTGTGTGTGTGTGTGTGTGTGAGAGAGAGAGAGAGAGGGGGGGTGCAGGGAAAGAGGCAGCATCTTGGAAGGTGGCATCTTCTGCTTAGAGGAATGTGGCTTGGATGTTGATCTGACCTGGACGTCCAGAAACCCGGGCAGAGGGTTGGCCTGGCGTTACCCATTCCAACTGCCAGTGGCTCTCCATGGACTCAGAGAGGGGCCTTTTTCCCGGGGGACGGGTTGCCCATGGGGCCCACCATCTGTCCTTCCCCAGAGGATGTTTCGCTGGACGGTTCTGTGTTGCGGACTTTTAGCCCTTCCCAGGCTGGAGGTGTTCTTGCCAGTGTCTCTCGGTTCTGCAACATTGGCCTGGTTCATTACTGGACTGACCTATTTCCGAGCTGTATCCCATCTTGGGGGGGTTCCAGCAAGTCCAGGCACCCTAGGGATGTTGATAACATAAACTAAAGGCAGGCCCTGCACATCACCTGCTTCTCGAGCTCTTGAAGAGGAGATCCCAGGAAGGAACCAGAATGCAAAGCCGGTGCTTCCTCACAGAGAGAAGACCAGGAGTGCACATCCCTCTTCGTCCATGCAGCTGTTGCGCAGCGCTTTCCTCTCCTGGTTGGTTTTCTCTCCGGAAAATGGGGCTCAGGGTGCCTTTTTTTGCTGGATGGTTGATATGAGGGCAATAATATAACTGAGGTTCTGTTTCTGAATTAAAGAAAAAGAAGGGAATGGCATCTCCTGCAAGGCCGGGCGTTTTTCTTCCTTTGGTATTTTGAAATCTCGCTTGCAGAGTGACTTCTGTGGGGGGCGTGCCTCATTTGTGTAGACTCAGCCGTGTTGCAGAGAGAGGGTTGTGTTCACTGTACCAGGTAAACTGCAGGAAGTGTGTGCTTGCTTCTTCCGTGCATCCAGGAAGCCTTCGCGGTGGCAGAACAAGTTTATCTTTTCTTCTTGCAGCAAGATCCTCTTATCTACCTACCCAGAATTTGCACAAATGCACCCAGGACGGTGCATGTGCGTTATCTTCACACATGTACCATTTGTACAGTCTGTGTACGATGGGTTAACCACCAGAAGGAAGGATGTTTTTCTTATGTTCTGCTCTTGGGATTTAAACTGGGGGAGATCTTGGCCCCAAAGAGGAGCATCTCTGAGTTTTGTCCTTTTTCTGCCTGTAGAAACCTCGTCGAGTCTTCACAACAGAGGGGAGAAGATAAGGTGGGGGGGCTGCTGGTTCAGGTCGAGGTTGGTCCAAGCTGCCCAGTGACCCCCAGAAAGCTCACAAGTGGGGCAGGAATCCCCACACGTTCCCAGGCCTGATGCCATGTGAAGATCTTGCTCCTGGATGGTCTTCCTGCTGCTAAAACCCGTACACAAACCAGCAGGGATGGCCAGACACTTTTCTGTCTGGAAGGCTTTGTCTCCTGGGATTACAGGTAATCCGTACACACCTGTTCATCCGCAGGTGAGGGGATGCCACAGTATTGAGGCTGCATGTGACTATCAGTTCTGCCATCAGCAAGAAGCAGTGGGACTCTTGGGGGATAATTTTTCCTCTGCTCCTTTATTCTGGATTATTTATTTAAAACATTTGTATGCCATCTGATTGTGCCACAGCACCTCTGGGCAGCTCACAACACAAGATAAAAATGCGATAAAACATAATAAAATCATAGCATATTACACATTAAAACAACAATAAAATACAATGAAACATTCAACACAACGGACTATGGCAATCAGTTATTAAAATGGTTTTTTAAAAGGAAGGTCTTTCCCTGGTGCTGAAAAGATAGTAAGGAAGGTGCCAGGTGAGTCTCCTTGGGGAGAGCATTCCAGAAATGGGGAGCAGCTGCAGAAAAGGCCCTGCTCCTCGTGGCCTTCCCTCTCCCCTCCCGAAGGGGTGGCTCACACAGGAGGGTCACCTGAGTAGATCTCAAAGACCGGGCTGGCGCACACGGGTGCAGGCGCTCCCTAAGACAGCCGGGGCCTAAGCCGTTCAGGGCTTTCTATGTCCACACGAACACCTTGCATTGGGCCTGGGCCACAGACCTTATTGTGTGAGACTTAGAGCATCTGGACAATTCTTTCCTACCCCCGGCCTTGCATGATCTTGGACAGACCGCTGCCCCCAACATTCTTCCTCCTTTCCCTCTGGTCCAGGCACCCAGCCTTCGGGGGATCTCTGCCTGGCCGAGAAATGCTCTCCTTTGCCTGGAGCGGGGAAGGCTTCCAAGGACAAGGACTCTGTCTGAGCAGATGCCCTCTCTTTCTTTCTTTCGCAGGCTCCATCACCGCCCCGCGGAGACATGGTGGTGACTGTCGAGGGTCAGGAGCTGGTTCTGGAGCTGGAAAAAAACCAGTAAGTGAAAAGACCAGTTTGTGTATTTTAAGACAAAGCTCCTCAGGACCCCAGCAGAGCCCCCAACTCAGTGCCCCGAAGCTACCCACAGTGGCTCAAAGCCCCTCCTGTCAGCCAGCCAGCCAGCCTCAGGAAAGCCATTTTAACCTTTCGATGGCTGGGGGAAGGGCTCCCGGGCCAGGGAAGGGGCTGTGGATAATTGGAGAATTCCAGAAGGCTGAACTGGGACACCAGCCAGGATCCAGGAGTGCTGGATTGGGCCCCCTGGCCTGTCACCTCTGGTTTAGAGCTGGGAGCTGGCCAGACCTTGGGGGAAATTTGCCACTGGAAATGCTCAGTTCCCTTTTCACCAAGAACAGCTAGGAAAACACCGGGGTTGCGCCTGGGAGTGGAGAAGCAGTGAAGACGAACCTCCCTGGCCCCGGCTTGCCTCCTCTTTTGGCTGCGGGCCCTTCAGCCCTACCAAAACGCGTGCACGGCGGTACAAATATGGGTCTGTTTTGGTTTGGGAAAGCTGAGTGCAGCGGCTGGGTGCCTGTCGGGCAGGTTTGAGCTTCTGCAGACAGAGCTGACAGGATCGTTCATGTCTTGGAAAAGCAGTGGCTAGGAGGCGATGCAGCTCTTTGGGCCACCCTGAGAAAACTAGATTCAAGGACTTGGCCCTGTGGAAGGAAAAGAGAAACTGTGCAGGGCCAGAGGAAAGATCTCGGCCTTTTAAGCACCTCTTCTAACCTGGCCGGTGGGGCGGCGGGGGGAGTGGGGGAAAGGGAGAGCTTTGGTAGGGGGTTTTGAGAATGGTCACTTACACATTCCCAATAATGTTTAGATGTGCTAACTGATATGCATTATTGGGCATTTATGCAGAGCTACTGTAGCTTAAACAGAAGCTGTGGTTCGTGCGCCTCTTGGCCTGGTGCTAAATACTGATCGGTGACATCTATTCGTTCAGTTAGATCCTTTTGCTTTCAAGTGTTCTGGGGCTGTGCAGCCCCACAGATAAAAGCACGCTTCCAGGCAGATGTGGTTCCGCTAACAACCCTTCAAGCAGAGGACTGGCTTTGCGGTCCGCCCCCCTGCCCCCCCGCTCTGCGTGCTCCTCCCTTCCTGCTTTAACTCTGGGGAATAATTGACAATCTGAGTGACAGCAGTCCTAGGAGAGCTGAGTTCAACACAGAAGCAAAGCTAGTCAGAAGGGGCCTCCCGGGCCATCTAGTCTGACCCCCGGCTCCAGCTGGCTCCGCTCATGACATGCTCACCATGTGCCTGTCCAGCCTATCCTTGGACTGTTCAAGTTCTGCCTCTGCTGTGGATTTTACTGGTGGGCAGTTGCTTTCTTTCTCACTTTCTGCCTTAGTTTCAGGGCTGAAATGCATTTGAGAACCACACCCATTGGATATTAATTGAATATTTCAGCTAAGTCTGTCCAGCTTGATGTTGTGCACAAAACAGAACAACACAACATATTCTTCAGACCGTGGGCATTTTGTCACATTTCTAATTTCCATTTCTCATTTAGAAAAAAATAAGTATAAAAGAGTTCACATATAATGTATTTAAATTATTTTCCAACTCCTCCTCCTCACCACCACCACTAAAGTGGCTTCTGGAATGTTTTAAAAAATCAGTAAAAGAAGACAGTCTGTGGTTAGAATCACAATGTAAAAGGGCCTGACACACAAGGAAAAAGGAGCGGGGAGGGCAGAGGAAAAATAGCTAGTCTTCTAGCAGGGCTGGTGGAATACCCCTGATTAAGTGTCCATTAAAGCCTTTTCTTCTGTCTGCATTTGCACAGAATTGCACCCATCAGCCTCAAGGCAAGACTTTGAGTCTTCCTACAACCTGGGGCTGGACTGCAGGCCATTTCCGCTTGCAGCCTCAAGCGATGGAATGGCCCCCTGCCACCATGACACCAATTCCAACATTTGGAAAACGTGCTTAAAGGGAGACGAATTCTAGCGGAGTCTTCTCCCAGACACACACTGCATTTCAAAATTTATTTTAACAGGAGCAGATCCTGTTCTAAAAGCCTTTTTTTGTTAAGTGTAGAGAGATAAATGACTAACAGCATTCCAGCAGGCATGATTCTCATTTTCTGGGCCTTTCCCTGGCTTTTCTGCCCTCGAGGGGAAATGACAGCCATCCTGGAGATCGGAACTTCCTAGCCCGGCTGTTGGAGCAGCTGAGCTCGACAACGGCTGTTTCCACGGCCTCGCCCAGCCCTGCCTGTGCGGCAGTTCGGACAGCTTTAAAGGGGAGCAGACATATCTGTGGAGGGGAAGACCGCCTGTGGCCACTGGCCCTGATAGCTTTGGCCACCTCCGGTGCTGGGCGGGGGGCCTTGGTGTAGCGGCTGCTGGGGAATTTGGGTGGGGGGTGCCTGTCCTGGTTGTGGGTTTCCGTGGGCCACTGGGTGGCCAGCGTGCAAGGCGAATGCTGGACTGGATGGATCCGGGATCAAACCAGCGGGGCCTTTCAGCTGTTCTTCTGCTTGTACGTCTGTCCATCTCTTCCCGGCCTTCGGTTACAACAACTTTTGGACAAACCCTCTGCAGTGAGTAGAACCAGGGCTCATTTGTAAATCCCCCCCCCCCCCGCTGAAGAGCGAGTTATCGTGTTGTCTGTACCCAGCTAGACAACGAACCTCGGAGAACAACCCATGGTTCCTAACCGAACAGCAAACCGTGACTTCTCTCCGTGTCCTCACCCCATGTCTGTGGGTTCTTCTTTGTGGTTCACAAGCCACTGCTTGGTAGTGTGGCTGGGTTCAGATGGCAAAATAACCTGCAGGTCAACAACAGCCCATACTCAACCCATACATGGCCCTTGAGTATATGTCCGGAGCCTGCCGGTACCTCCTGCCCCGAGCTCTGCTCAGTGGGAGGCGACGGGAGGGTTGAGGCCTCCCCGCTCTGGGAGTCCGCCCTCCTTGCCGCTCACCCCACTGCTTTCTCGTGGGCACGTGGCCCATGGTTGCCCCGGCTGTTGTTGACTTTCTCCCTGTCCCACCTGATGGCCGAAGCTCCCTGGGCAGCTCACGGCAATTTCTCAAAAGCACGAAAAAGAAGCCCAACCAAAATGTGGATACGGACGCAATAAAAACACAATATAACATTCCAGCATCGACATGGAAAACAGAATAGAAAACTGCAAAAATACTTCAATTCCAAAAAAACAACATTTGGGCAAACAGCTGACGATGCTTAGGTCCCCTGGGAGTGGCAGTCCAAGACACCTGTGGGGCCCCAGGCCGGGCGAGGCTGTTTGCAGCGGAGCTTTTGGTTCGGTGCGGCACTCGCTGGCAGCGGAGCTGCTGAGGGCTCCCGGGGCTGGCTGCAGATCCCAGGTCCCAGCAGTCTGGTGAGGTGCCGGGGAACATGTGGAGAGGTTCAGCGGCAATTCAGTCTGTCTGCAGTTTAAGTAGTAACCAGCCCGAATTTGCCAGATCTGTTTACCTTCAGGATGGAAGAAGAGTGATTAGGAAACTGTTTGAGGGAGGCAAAATTAATTGAGACAGGGCAACAATGAAGACTTCCGTTATCAAAACAGCGGGGTCAAGAGCAGCTTGAAGAACTGGCATCGTTCAGCGATGGCGTTGCACTGAGTTCAAGTTTGTGGTTACAGTGGTTTCTTGGAACTGCTCTGGATTTAGCCCGGCTGCTAATGATGATGTTTTCTCCTAAACTACGGTTTCTCTGGCTCTGCAAATCTCAGCTTACTGGGGATTCTGGAATGTTATTTTTCTTCTTTTATATGCACATGGTTTGTTTGGAGTTGGGGGGGGTGGATGAGGAGGGGAGAAGCAAAAAGCAAACAGAGACCCAGCCCTGCTAATGTTCATTCCTGTTGCCAGCACCCCCTGCCGAAAACCTCACTCAGCTTGGCCCGCGGCCAAGGCAGGAAGTGCTTGGGAGATGGACTTGATCTTGGAAAGCAGTGCCAGGTTTGAAAAGCTTGTTCTTTCTCTCTCTCTCTTGCTCCAGAGGAAAGACAGAGAGGGGATGGGGAAAGTGTTTATCTGGGTGGGGGCTGGAAGTACCTGCTTCTGATCTCTCTCCCCGTAAGCAGCGCTTTGTGGCCTCTGCAGCTTGCTGCGAGGGGTGCCTGCACTCTCACCGGCTCGCTCAGATTTTAGCCTCCTGTGTGGCGTTGGGTAGTTTGTGGAATCAGTTGGCAACTCGGTGCTTCGGCAAGGCGGGGTCCCACCCTGGCATCCCCAGCTTCCTTTCCCCCCTTTGCTGTTCTTCCGTGGCAAGAAGAACACGGGAGCCGCAGAGGTGCCCACCTGCCCTCCCTCAGCACATCCTTTCGATGTGCAGAAGAAACCACAGTGGATGTTCTTCTCTCGTGGGAGTTTATAATGCACTTTTCTTCTTTGATTGCAGCTGTAATCCTCCACACATTTGTTTAATTTTTGAGGTGTCGCAATCAGAAGTGTGTACAGCATCTCCAGCGTGTGTGCACCGTATCTGTATAGGACAGGGCTGTTTTGTTTCAGGTTCTGTTCCTAACGAACTGGAATCTGGAGTCTGCTGTTTGCATGGCAGACATTCACTGGTTTGCCCTGCCCTCGAGCAGTCCGGCAAAGCCCAAGGTTCTTTCTGACCCGGCTCAGAGGATGAGGCCGGGGTTTTGCTATGCTGGACAATATTTGCCCGTTTTAACACCCATTCCCGAGTTTTGGAGACATTCTCTTGGTGCTCTTTGCAATCCCTTTTCGTTTTAACCGCGTGAAGTAATCTGGTGTCGTCTGCGGCCCTGGGCACCTCACCCTCGTCTCAAGATCCTTGATGAACAAGTTAAGTCGGGCTCATCTGAAAGCAGGGAAGGACCTGGGGAGAGGCATTATGAGAGATTTCCTGGACAAGGGGTGTCCGTCCGTCTGTCCTTCCCCTTTGATGTTAACACCCCGCTTTTCCTATCTGCTGGAGGCAGTGGAATGTCCTAGCACCTTTCAAATGTACTGTTTCTCTGCACAAGTAGCAGAAGGATCTTTTGTCCTA